TAAGACACCCCTTCATGTGAATGCGCAAAACGAGTAGTAATGGTAATGGTAAGGGGAAGGGCTAAGGGGTAAAATTGGGATTAGGCCTAAGTGAATGCTTTTAGCAGGCACTTTTACAAAAAACACAATTAAATATATATATATATATATATATATATATATATATATATATATATATATATATATATATATATATATATATATATATATATATATAAATTAAAAAGTATTAACAGTTTTATGGTTGGTATAAGCTATGAGCTGCATGGGGGCGCAGTGGTTAGTACTGTAGCCTCACAGCAAGAAGGTCACTGGTTTGAGTCCCAGCTTGTCCAGTTGGCATTTCTGTGTGGATTTTGCATGTTCTCCTCATGTAGGGTGACTTTCCTCCGGGTGCTCCGCAGTCCAAAGACATGCACTATAGGTGAATTGGATGAACGATTGGTCGTAGTTTATGAGGGTGGTATATTAGCAGTAATGCTAAGCTAAAAATTGCTGCATTATCCACAATTTGTGGATAGTATCCGTTTAAAATGCACATATATTTTTACATTCATGCATTTAGCAGACATTGAATTTAAAGAGGATTTTATTTATGTATTTATTTAAATTATAGAAACGTAATGGATTATTTCATGCTTAATAATCAACCACCAACAACATCCTTTCCCAAAAGTTTTTCCAGTGTGAGCAGAACAGTGACTGTTGTGATAATACAATAAATACAACAGCAATAAAAAAAAGTGTGACGATAAATCACGTTAAAGCTGAAAGTACAGATATTATCTCTATACATCTTATTTATAGCTCTGCATGAGAGACTATCTTTCACTGGAAATATGCCTGAAATTCCAGTATGTGCTGTTTTCTCTGGGCTGAAATGACGTTAATCTAGTGTGCGTCAGTATGAGGACCAGCCCGCTCTGTCAAACTGTAATCACCCCACACTTCCGACGCTCTGGGCCAAAGTGCGCTCAACCACTAATGTGAGATCGTACACCTCATTAAAACTGCCGGTGAAATATTTATCTATCCCAGCCGAGGGGGAAATGATACCGATTCTAAAGTGGCGGATATGAGTATGTTGTCTTCCAGCGTCAATAATGACAGGCTTTTTTAAATGCTCCGCTCACTATGCCAGTCAATTAATGATGCTAATTACATTCATTTGATGCAGTAGGCAAGATCCCGATAGCAGGTATTGACTAAACGCAGGCATCTTATTAGTGTAGACAAGCAGGTAATATTTCTCTAAGGACACGCATAGTATTCTTCATTATGTGTGGTAGTGTATATATAATTTAATAACAATTCTGTGTTAAGTGTGTCTGTTTTTACAGAACAAATTGTGGTTCTGTCTTTGCATGTTTACTTATTATGATGATCGTCTTAAGGTTTAATAAGTGCATCTCAGTTAATGCTGTAAATTATTTACACTTCCTGACAAAAGTCTTGTCGCCTATCCAAGTTTTAGGAACAACAAATAATACTTGACTTCTAGTTGATCATTTGGTATCAGAAGTGGCTTATATGAAAGGCAAAGGCCTCTAGATTACGCTTATTTTACCAAAATAAAATATGATCATGCCTTGATTTTGAATTATTTAATTAGAACAGTAAAGTCTGCCTTTTTTAAACAAAAGTCTTGTCACTTAACAGAAATAATGTACAGTATAGAATATAAAGTCATGCTGCAGTGAGTATTGTGTATGTGCCCCATGAGCTTGGAGGACTGCATCCACCTTCATTTTACCCCAGACATGCTCAATAATGTTCATGTATGGTGACTGAGCTGGCCAATCCTGGAGCACTTTGACCTTCTTTGCTTTCAAGAACTTTGATGTGGAGGCTGAAGTATGAGATGGAGCGCTATCCTGCTGAAGAATTTCTCCTCTCCAGTGGTTTGTAATGTAATGGGCAGCACAAATGTCACCTCAGGCTGTTGATGTTGCCATCCACTCCTGCAGATCTCTCGCATGCTTCCTTACTGAATGTAAACCCCAAACCATGATTTTTACTTTACCAAACTTGACTGATTTTTGTGAGAATCTTCTGCAGTATTTGTGATGATTGGGATGCAGTTCAACAGATGATACATCTGAAAAATCTACCTTCTGCCACTTTTTCAAATGATCAACTAGATCATTTTAATATTATATTGCTAGATCATTTTAATAGTCAGGTTAATATTTGTTGCACTTACAACTGAGATTGATGACAAGACTTTTTTCAGGTGGTGTAATGTGCCCTGTTGCACAATAATTAACAACACATCCCAAATCATTATATTGAACAAAATATATAGTTTGTAATAAATATTTATAATTATAATAACATTCAATCATGAAGTAAAAAGCACATATATGAGAAAGTTTTACATTCAAAAAAAATATCTAAATCTAACTATAAAAATGTTTCCACTAGTTTTTTGTTTTACTCTGTGGCTTTAATATCTTTTTAATGACAAACTGATTTAAATACATACACTGTAAAAAAAAAATGTTGGGTTCCACATAATCGATTTGTCTTGGGACAACTAGAAGAAATTAGGTAATAAGTGGATTGAGCATAAAACAAGGAAGTTTCCCTCCTAAAAAATAAAAAATAAAGAATTGTGTTGATTCAGTTCATTTTAAATAAGTAGCTTGAACAAGCAACAAAAATCATTCTTTAAGTGCAAATAGCATGTAAAATGCAGGTATAGTTCACCTAAAAATAAAAATGTAAAGAAGATATTTAGAGGAGTATTTTGGAGTATTGGTAGACGGTATCCTACTGACTTTGACTGTAGAAAAAAAAAAAACACTATAAAGGTTTGTTTTTTTAATTTTATACTCTCTGGGACTAATAATCTGTCCTGGCCAAAGCAAGCAGCGAGACAGAGTTTACAGAATTTATGGGACAAACTATACATTAAAAACACTTAAAACAATTACAAATCACAGAATCACCCTCAGATTGCTGAGTGATTGACTCAGAATGATCCAAAGAATTGAATTGAAGCATATTTCAACCAGATGGAGATGCATGCCTACAGAAAAAGCCTTTTTTACCAAATTCAGTGTGAACAAAAGGAACAGAGAGACTATAAAAATTCTGAGAACAGTGGAAATATTTCTGTGAAGTTTTCTGTTGTATAAGACAACAGAGATATGAAGAAAACATCCCAAAGATAGCCTTGTAAACACTCAAATAGTAATTGTTAAGGCCATCTTGGAGATGTTGCCTCCATATAATAATTATAATCATATATAATGGTTCAGTAACAACCATATAATGGTTAGAATCATCTGTTTGTATACCAACATTTTGAGGACAAGAGTTTTGAGTGAACTATTCCTTGAAGTAAAAAATAATGGATTTGTGGTCTAATATCGTGCAAATATTTAGAGAAAGGCTCTTCACTAGAGTTTATTTCTCTAGTGAATGAGCATGTTGTTGATGCTATATGGCTTGCCTGAAGTAAATATTGTTTTGCTTTGTGACATATTGTTTACAAGCTGTTTTATTGATGTCTTTCTTTGGTTGGAGTTCTGATTGAGCGATTACATGAGATGAGATGTTCATTCATGGACATTTGGTGCTAAAACTAGCGGTAAAGTGGAAGGAATGATAATGACATATCAATTCACATCAGCGACCATGAAAACAGCATTTATTGTTCGAATTTCCTAACAAAATAGACACAGATTGAGAAAACAAAACACAAAAGTTTTTGGGATTATTTGATGGGACGTGCACTTTATAATGCAAATAGCAAAGAATAAAAGATCAGTTGGGATATAAGAATCTATGTCAATCAATTCCTCAAGAACACAAGGATTTTTTTCATTGAAATGTCCATATATATAGCTGACTCATGTGCTTATGTCATTTCAAATATTTCAAAGAGTGTTAAAATCCAGAGAAATAACCCATTTTAATTAGTAACATAGACCGTGTCCTGTGTTGTCATGACATCTTAAGCCTTTCCAGTTTGGTTTTATAAAAAACCAAGAAGTACCAAATATGCTATTGTGTTTTTGTTTTTTAATTAGATTCGACAGAACAGTATTAAAACAGATTCCTAAAATGTATTTAGTGTGATACAACAGTGGTGCTTCCTCTCCACATGATCACGACCGAAAGAACCAGTGGACTGTGGCATAATAAAAGCTGAGCTGTTTTTGTGCAGCGTCTCTCATTACTTTCGCACTTTCGTTTGCTTGCTTCATACTATAATGTTAATAAGTCTTTAGCTCATCCATGAACTAACTTAGGGTGTAATAAAGACGACAACTCCCATGATTCCACACTTAAGGCTGATTTATACTTCTGCGTCAAGCGAACGCATGTGGTCCGGCGCAACCGAACTTGCATACCCCTTGCACGTAATGCAAGCTCTGTGATTGGTCTGCTTGGTAGCGCTGACGAGTGTGAGCAGGGCCGAGAGCCACACACACCCATTGGAGCGAGTGTTTACAAGTGTCGAGTTCGGTGAAGGAGCTCCATATAGAAACTTTTGTTTTGTGTTTACCTTATGATTAAAGTTGTTGCACGTCCACCGTTTCCCACCTCAGAATGAGCGAGTTTTAGCTACTTGTACGTTGAGGTAACATTCACAAAACACCTGCGAAGAAAGTAGACACTGAAGAACTTAAAAACCTTGCTGCCACCTAGTGTTTTGGGAGTGTTATTGCAGAGCAACACAAACAGCTAGCAGAAGTATAAACCAGCCTTTAGTCACAGCTTCATCAAACTACACCTTTATTTGATTCAATAAATCCCCTTTAGCCACAAAACAATTAGAGACTGTGCCTTTAAAATGAATACATTAATGAAAACCTAGATTAAATTCTGCTTGCAGTGGTTCCATCAACACATTATACAATATGTTTTGTACAAATTTCTAACAAGGATGTGTACCATTACACTCTATACACTCTATATAAGGCCTGACTGAAATATTAATGCTCTTAAGATTGGATTTGTGGTTAAACTTTTCCTCCTGTTGTTCACAGGTCAGTGAGAATGCAAAGCAGGACCTGAAAGATGGCCTTGCCCTCTACAACACAGACAACAACATTGGGCTGAGAAATGCCTGGAATATCATCCAAGCCGAGGTAATCTTTGTGACAGTCCTGAAAATATTCTCTTATACCTGCCGAACTTAATAAAGTTTTGTTGACCTTTTTTTTATTTTGCTCTCCTCCTGCATGGCAGTGGAAGTGTTGTGGTGTCACCGGGTACACAGATTGGCATGATGCCCTGAAAGAAAAGGTTGTGCCTGACCGCTGCTGTCAAGAACATTATCAGGAGTGTGGCCGCAACTCCACCAACATGTTCTGGACACGGGTGAGTGGAAACATGCATTTAAACAAATAACAGTGTTGACAAATGTCATCACACTTAGTAAGAAGAAGAAGAAGAAAAAAATAAACACACTTTAAGGGGCCGTTCACATAGAATTTTTTTTTTTATCCCTCTAACACAACTTTTCTATTGTTTTTCAATGTAAACACCCGTTTAGCAACCGTTACACTTGTGTCTTGTGTATTCTGAAGCGCCGCACGTGTTTTTGACATCATGTCAACTTAAAAAATCTTCAACTTTCACACATAGAGCAGCTCATCACTGTCAGATCCAAAAGCAGTGGACTTATCTGAAGAGCTTATAGGCAGGGCAACCGTTGCAAGCTTCTGTTTATAGACAGTTAGCAACTGTTTTATTTACAGTTATATCACGGTGATAGAGGCGCTCATTGTCCAGAATATCACTGTGACCAGTTATATGATGTATCTTAAAAAAATGATGTCTGCAAAATTGTTACAAACAATTTATATGTTGTATTTACCCCCAGGGGTCAAAGACCGCATATAAGCGTTTTAAGGCGTCTTCTCCTGATAATGCCGAAAAGAACGTAAATTACACTTTCAGTTTTGATCCTACAGATAAGAGTAATACATTAATCGAATCTGTTACGTGTCTACTTTTTTGTATATACTCACAACAACAACAAATGTGTGTGCTTTTGAAAAATAAGAAAAACAAACAGTGTAGGCATACTTTCATTTCTTCTTTAGAAACGCGTCAGTAAAATGCACTGAAACTCTGCGAAAACAAAACACACAGACATGAGACATATATCTATAGAACGCTTGAAGTGTCTACTTTTAAATGCAGCGAGTGCAAGTTGAAAACAAACATTGCTTGATAAAGTAATCAGTATGAAACCAACACTCTGTTAGTTACTCAGTCTGATCTCATTAGCTTTAATGCGAGTAATGATCAACCTTATTTGTGTGTTCAAATTCAGCCTAAATAAATTGTTTACAGCCACTTAACGTAAAAAAAAATTGTAAATCCAAGAAATCATCTTTGAATATTTTTTTCCCTGCGATTTTTAGTCATACAGACATAAGTAAGACATTATTTGTAACTGAATAAGAGTCTACTTGTGTATACCGTACTCACAACTACCACAAAACATTGTGCTATTGTAAAATAAAGTAACCAACCAGTGTGTACATCTTGTCATCTCGGTCTCGGTGAACTTTTATCTGAAAATACCTTTTTACATCAAATTTGGATATTCCACAGCCTCTCTGGGCACCTGTTGTCTATGTTGAAAGTCTCATATTAAAACTGTTTTAATTTTCAAGTCTACCAATGTAAATCTACCAATTAGTTTAATTTTAAGTTTGTTAAGCAGACAAAATGCTGAATTGCTTTAGATAGCATGTAATATCAGTGGTTTGATTGGTCAGATGGCCTGTCGATCAACACCCAGCAAAGACAGGTGACATTTCGAACGCACCACTTTCCATTTAATTGCCCTCATTTGGAATACATTTGTGTTTAAACTCTTGTGTCCATTAAAAGTACATCTCAGAAATGGGATGGGATCAAAGAAAGGACTGGAGGTAATAACTGAGACGACTTCTCTTTTCTTTCTCTTTTCTGTCCTTGAGAAGAGTTATTATTAATAAATGAAAGGCAGTAAAAGCCATAGATTTAAGACTTCTCTGTTGGAAGAAGCTCTAAGTGTGTCTATAAAGTGCCAGACCCATGTATCTTTATGTATTTCTGCTCACTTTTGGGTACTCAACGCATTTGTCTTTCCTACAGGAGATGATTTAGCTTATGAAAACTCATTTTAATGTACTGAATGTTTGAATGAGATTGTGAAGAGGGCAATGGTCTCTTGTGGCAATATTTTTGTGCCATTGACAGAGCTCTACATCAGTAGCTGATGTTGCACGTCAAGCTGTCGCACCTTCTTATCGGCAGCTTTTAGTTACCACAGAGCTTCTAATGGAGTGTGTGCGGATGAGGCATTTCCTTTTAGTGAACTCTTAATGTTTTTTCAAACGCAATTTTTTCATTAAGGCAGAACGAGGAGTGTTTGAAGTTTGTGGAACTGCCGCAAGAGAAAGAATTTGAGTAAATGTCACCATTTGCTGGGATGAAAATTACACAAGGACGCATTTGTAGTCAAGTTAGCCTGAAACCATAAGCCGTTAAATTGTTAAATTTATCTTCACCCCCAGACGTTAAACAGCAACCCAACATAAAGTTTTTAATTCACAGAACAAGAGAAATTAGTCAAAAAACTCTAACGTGAGGCTGTTTGCAGAGACATGTTTTACCATATCGGAAGGTATTATATTGCATTACCGTCACACTTTTTGCTTGTGCTGGAAATGAATTTCCTTTTCAATAAAGCATCCCACAACACCACCACCAACTCAAAGCTGTTTTGAATTTTTCCCCACATAGCATTCAATATAAATATCACTGAATGTGCATTTATTCTTTTTCATTGAGCATTAAAAATGCTGCCATATGTGAAATTGAAGATGTTCCTACACATTTCATGTATGCTTCACTACATTTATTTTAAAGGGCAGTCTCACTTTAATTTGCTGCACGTTTTGAAAGCCTAAGAGGGGCATTTTCAAAGAGTTATACAAATTATTAGTGTGGTATTTTAAGCTGAAAATTAGTTCTAATTGGATTTGCATTGCAAACATTAAATAAAAGTTAAAAAGGTGTTTATTTCATATATTAAGTTTTTAGTTATGATACTCCTAAAATCATTCCACATAAATCTGCAGATTTTTTACAAAATTCTCCACGGAATAGCAAAAAATGTCCGCAGATTCTGTCTGGCCCAAGTTAATAGTAACTAATAAAGCTATTTTAACCTGTAGCTTTTCTGAATTTGATTGTAATGCAATAATGTAATAACTATTTAATAATTATAAATATTATTTAATAGTAAATAACCTTTAGCTGCTTTTCACAATAGTTATTGTGAAAAGTGTGATACAAATAAATGTAATTGAATATTATCAAAGAATACATTTTTAATTTTGTGCTGTTCTTTAATAATAATAATAATAATAATAATAAATATCAATAATAATAATAATATTATTAATTATAATAATGATAATAACAAATACTAACAACAACAACAACAACAACAATAATAATAATAATAATAAATACCACCACCAACAACAAAAATAATAATAATAATAATAATAATAATAATAATAATAATAATAATAAATACCACCAACAACAACAAAAAAAATAATAATAATAATATAAATACCAACAACAACAACAACAATAATAATAATAATAATAATAATAATAATAATAATAAAAATAATATTAATGATAAAAGGAAAAAAATAACCAATTAAAATGTAATTTAAAAAATAATTTAAATTCAATGAAATTTAGACTCATATTTACATGGTACTGGTTTCCTTATTTGGTGTGCACTTCACAAAATTCATACTTAACCAAGTAAACCATGCTTATTTAAAGCGAATCACACAGCGTTCGTTTGTGTTAATCAGTTTGTTAATGTGAATGACCCTTAATCAGTGTCATTTATTTATTTTTTTTTTGCAATGCAGAAATGCCAAATATGGTAAATAAAATCATTCCACATAAATCTGCAGATTTTTTACAAAATTCTCCACGGAATAGCAAAAAATGTCCGCAGATTCTGTCTGGCCCAAGTTAATAGTAACTAATAAAGCTATTTTAACCTGTAGCTTTTCCGAATTTGATTGTAATGCAATAATGTAATAACTATTTAATAATTATAAATATTATTTAATAATAAAAGCCCTTTAGCTGCTTTTCA